AAGATAAAGAATTAAGAAAAAAATTAACACCATCATATGATTTAGGTTGTAAACGTGTTCTATTATCTGATGATTGGTATTCATCAATACAACAACCAAATGTTAAATTAATTACAAATCGTATTCAAGAGGTAAAATCAAATTCAATAGTTACTTGTGATGGTGATGAATATCCAGTAGATATTATTATTTGGTCAACCGGATATCAAGTACAAAAATTCTCATTGCCTATCTATGGAATTAATGGTCGTTCATTAACAGAACAATGGTCAGAAACTTTTCAGGTAAATGTTCTTTAGTAAAACATTTATACATTTATTGATGTTGATTTTCTTTGTCTTAGGCATATCGTGGTGTAATTGCACCAAATTTCCCGAATTTATTCTATCTCCTTGGTCCAAATACTGGGCTTGGTCATAATTCAATTCTTGTAATGATTGAAGCACAGATAGATTATATTGCTGGAGCTCTTTTATATATGAATAAGAATAATCTTCGAATGATGAATGTTAAACAAAATGTACATGATGAATATAATCGACAAATACAAATAAACTTAAAGAAAACAGTCTGGCAAAGTGGTGGTTGTCATTCATGGTATCAAGATGCGAAAGGAAATAATACAGCAATATGGCCTGGTTTTACATGGACTTACATGTTATTCATGAAATATTTTGATCCTGCGAATTATATTTTTCAATAATCGTATCTATATTTTAATTGCTTCTTAATGAATAAAACAATTTCGATTTTTTTTCATTTTTACTTTTTTTTCTATTATTTGACAAAAAGAATGTTCTAATGCATATCATTATTGAACAATAAAAAATTTCTTATCAAACTAATCCATACTTTCCTTATGAGAGAAGGTTCTCAACTGATCCAAGACGTTTCCCAATAGTATTTTGTTCATATGTTGGAGACATTATTCTAGAAAAAATCCTAAAAAGATTTGGAGTGATTGAGCTTCTTTTGAAAGTTATAATGATTTTACTACGCAGTTTGTTCGAACTGGAGCAAGATATTGACGGAAATATTGAAAAGTAGAATATCATTCTGAAATTTCACTCATATATATTTCTTGTAGTCATTAGAATATTCTAAAAGTTTCATTGTAGAAAAATGTTTCCTTTTAGAAATATTGAATTTCTTAACAATTAAACACTAAAAGAAGAAAACATATTTTTTACAATGAAATTTCAAATTCACAAAGATCCGTATTTGAAATCATTGATATTTTTTTTATCAACCTTCTCTATGTTGTTGATAGTTTCAGTTATCATCTTTACTAAATAACGTTAAAGTTACATGTTGAAAATGAACACAAAAAAAAAAATTCCACATAAATCTTTGGTCACTATTTCATCATATTTCCAAATAGTACGTGCCAAGATATTTTTACCAAATGTTTATTGATACCGTAAGAGGAAATTTGACCTTATGAAAGTATAAATATAATTATTGTACGATTAATGCGAAAAATGTATCATTCATCTCAAGAAAAAATATAGAGCAATGACGTTGATGGTAACATATCTGAAAAACAAATATGTGACAACTTGATGAAAGAGAAGACAAGTATGCCTTAGAGATCTGTAAACAACTAATAGATAAACGTATGGTACTGAAATTGGATATTATGTCAATCAAAATTATTGAATAGTTATCTTAGATTTATCATGAAAATATTTTATATTTTATTGATTTTCATATTATTTTTCTTTGTTAGTTAAATCTTAATTTGATTTCAATTATAAATTGTTGCTTTTTTTTTTATCTTGAAATCAATCTTTAAAATTTACATTCGACTTAAAATACATCATAAAAATCAATTTTCTTGTTAATTGTTTGTTTTTTTCTTTTAAAGGATAAGAAAAACAAAAAAAAAATAAAGGCCAAATGAAAACAACTAACAGATATCCACAAACAAACAGATTATTATGTCAAGACAAATATTTTTAAGTAATTTGCTCTAAGAAACAAAGTATATGTCAAATTTATGTGTTGATGATCCAATGTAATCGAATTAACATTGAAAATCAACGCTATATCAAAATCTTTGGATATAAGGACTAAACCGAAAGTTTCGAGACAAAATATTTGTCTATTTTTGTTTTGCGTATTTAAATGCATTGATAATATGATACAATCAGAATATTGTGCTCTTGCAGAATGTATAATTAGAATTTTTCTGTGACTTTTACCTATTGAACTATGAGTAAATGTTGACGGGACTCGAAGTAATTTTTTGGAGAGACAAAAATCTTAGTTTTCTGACGGTAAGACTGCTTCCTATAGATATTAAATAAGTTTTGGAAAATATCTACTACTTGAGTATGATCTCTACTTTACCAAATAATACAAGAATGGAAGAGCTTTGATCAATCTACTAAAGAATGGCAGAGTTGTAGCGAAGCAACATTTTGTGCGGACCAGGCGAAAACCAGAAAAATAACTATTTTTCTTGAGATAGACTTGTCTTTACTGTTTTGTAGAGAATTATTTTCTATATCTTCCAATATATTCAATAAAATTTTGTGGCATATCTCGAATAAGCTCTATTTGAAGTTTTTTTTTGTCCAAAAAAAAAAAATTTTTTTCCAGTCTTTTCAAGGTTGACTCATATCTCAGTAGTCTAAAGCCATGGAGAAACTTTAAGCATTGATTCTGAAAGTTCACAAAAAAATGCTGATTCTAATACACTATTAAATACGTGAAAAATAGTAAAATATTTTACATAGAAACTCTCCACACAGCTCTTATATATATACAAAAACGTCATATATGATCATTTTCCATTAAATATGATAAATCGAATCAAGAGTTCGAATAAAAATTGAAGAAGACTGCTTGTCGATTATTGCATCCTAATATAAAAACTTAAAATGAAAAAAAGAAACAAACTATTATGATCATATTGTATGTTTGATTTACACATGCTGATGATAACAAGTATTAATTTACTAAGTAATAGTAATGAATAATACATTTTTTGAAACTTTTTTTTCCTTTTTATGAATAAAATTAATAATTAAAATCTATCTTTATTTTGATGTTTTATTTTTTATATAAACAACAAATAAAGGCTAAAACAAAATGATGCACAATCAAATGTTGAAAGATTGCTTTTTCTTTCCCTATATATCAAATGTAGTTCTTGATGTTCGTTTGAGAAGACGTTTTCTAGCCAGATGTGTTTGAAGAGCACTCATTGGAACACCTGATTGATGATGATTGGATTTAAGTACAGGCCATGAACATGTTCGTCGAATTGGTAAGTTAGGTGTAAATGATGATGGGATAAAATTATTGCTTACTATACTAAGTCTCATATCATTAATCAATGATTGTGGATGTTCGAATAAAATTAATGGATGTTGACGATTTGATTTAAAAAATCGTCGTAGAAAACGATGTATTCGATAACGTCGTCTTCGATATGGGATAAAATTTATTTCTGGTTGTTGATTTGTATTTTTTCGAAAAATTTGTTGTTGTTGTCGATATCGAATAAGACGCCAATGACGATAAGTATCAGCAATCCATAATGCTGTTGCTTCACGATTATTACGTGGTTCTATATTTGGTAATTCAAGATAAAGAGATTGACCACCACGATGACGTTCAAGTTCTTTTGCTTCAAGTAAATCGACTTGTTTAAGCCAATAAGCTAGATCAAATTTAGCTGCTGACAAACGTGAATTACCAACTTCATCTGATGAAGAACGACATAAACGACCACGAGCTTTCCAAATTAAATAAAATATAACCAGGAATAACATGCCTATAAGAATTTTCAATATACAATTTTTTATATTTATATAAATATATAAGGTGATAGGAAGAAAGTTTAACAACAATGTATTTATTTTTCTATACTATTAAGTAATTAGCTCAATAAACAGAGAGTGATTTTAATAGCTAATATAGGTTTTTTTTCCTATAATACATTCTATACAAAGGTTTCTAAAACAAACCGAACACAATAGTTTTCAGGTTTCATCGAAACTATTTTTTAGAAATTCTATTTTAACGAGAACAGAATGATGGGTTATCGAATTTTCTACGGCTGTCTCTTAAGAGCATCACAAAAACTTTAAAAAGGCGTTTTTTAAACGATTTTTTGATAAATTTTCTTTTTTTACAATAATTTTAACTTTTTAAGGAAAGATCGTAGAAAATTCGATGACTCCTCATTTTATGCTTTTTAAAATAGCATTATTAAAAAATTCGTCCAATAGAATCTGAAAATTATCGTGTCCAATGTTTATAGAAATCTTAGTATAGAATGTGTTATATAGAAAACTCCATTAGCTATGCAAATCACTCTGTGAATATTGAGCTAATTGATTAACATTATAGAATAAAACAAAAATGTTATTGTTAATCTTTTTGTCACCACATCTATATGATTAGTTACTTTAACTATAATATCGACCTTGAAATCAAATATATTGATCTAATATTTATCTTGATAAATTATTAAATTATTAATGAGTTTCTTTGTTTTTTTTCCTGTTATTGTTGTTATAGCATTTATCGAAGTCTAAATGCATCTGTTTTGTTTTTTTCATGTGCAAAGCTTTTTTTTTTTTTTACTTGTAGTAATTAATCATAACTTCAATGTCTTTCGTCCATCATATAAAACTCATTATCAACAGTCAACACTGTCCTCTCTTTTCTATTCAAATCTAATACGTTTCTTTTTTCTTATCATTAATTTCTTTCATCATTAATAGTCGAAACATTATATCGATTTTGTTTTTTTTTAGAAATTCTTAACTATTTTTACTTATTGTTTTGTTTTGTTTTTATTTCTCTTTTGTTACAAATCTCAAGCAATTTCTGCTTTTGTTTTTTTTTTTGGTTGTTGTCATATTATATTTCTTTATCAACTGTATTCGAGCTTTAGAAATATTCTATTTTTGCTGTAACATAAGTGGTACTTATCACGAAAGTAAAGACTATGCACTGAGATCAATTCATTAATAGCAATATATATATATCAAGAAGTTATCTAAGATAAAAAAAAGTATCAACTCACGATTTTTATTATTTATCAAGACATCTTAATTAATTATAATCGAATATATTTTTATAATAATTAGTTCAATATTTATTGAACTAAATATATTAGTTTTAGTATTTTGGAATAATTAATTTATATTGAGAATGTTATTTTTTCTTTAAATGTATCTTATTGATATATAATAAATAAATATCATTATTGTAGAATAAAAAAATATAAATTAAGTTTGATTCATTAAAAAGTTTTTCAAACAAAAAAAAAAAAATTAATTAATTTTCGTTTAAAAAAAAAGCAACGGAACTTGTTTTCAAATAAACATTCATCATTGTTTATTGATCTAGAAAATATTTTTTATTCATTTTCCGGAAATCACTTATCAGACTTTGTTCTTGATGTTATTTTTATTTCATCATTAATCTAACGGGTTTTGTTTTTCTATATAAAAGACATGGTATTTTTTTCTCGTCGAATTGTAAATTGTTAGGTTCTATATTATTTTGCATGAAAATCATGTATGCATCGATGAATCCATGGAATAGTTTAGGAAAAAATAGTAATGATAAAATGGGTGTCATTTTTTTTCCTTTTCTTTCAGTTTTTTTTTTGCTATAATATAAATTACATACCGCCGAGTAGAGCTGCTGTCTTGATTCCTGTTTTAGCCGAATAGGGATCCTCGAATGAAAGTTGTTGCTGCTGAGTTGATGAAATGGAAGAAAAAAGAGAAGAAGTTATGTTTGTAATGTGCACTGAGAAAAGTGTAGCAGTCGTAATAGTAGTGTTAGTAGTGGTTGTTGGGCGTTTTTGTCGTTTTTGTTGTTGTTTTTGTTTATCGCTGGTTAACTGACGATAAATAGATGAAGTTGCTACAATATGTTGTGGTGATAGAGTTGGCGAATTGATTACATGATTGAGAGGGAGCATTGTCGATGGCAGTGCTCTTCATTGCTATATCTACTAATGTTAATCTAGGTTGCCACTGCTGCCACTCACTTTCATCGTCTTTCAGTACACGCATTGAGTAATGGGTATGTTTGTAATAGTCATATGCTAAAAAAATCTGAAAATAAAACAATCGACAAAAAAATAAAAAAGAGAGAGAGAGAGAGAGAGAGAGAGAGAGAAAGGGAAAAAGAAAGAGAAAGAAAGAAAGAAAGAAAGAATGAAAGATACTTTCATTTCATTAGTTCGAGTGAGAGAAAGGAAATGAGGAAAGTCAAACTCGATTTATATTATTCATGATGACTATAAAATAGCTATGATGTTCGTAAAAAGTTTCAAGCAACGACTGACTATACAAACATAGTGCACTAATATGATCGATGAAAAATAACACTAAAAAAAAGAACTAGGTGCATAACACTATTCATATTCTCCCATTTTTCTTTCTGACTCTCTCTCTCGCTCGCTCGCTCGCTCTCTCTTTCTCTGTCCTCTCTCTTCTGTGTATTTGATCTACCTTACGGTGGAAACATTACTTATATACATGAGCAGAAGCGCTTCAAGGTCTCGTTTACTTATTTTACTTAGCACTATTTTTTTCTCTTTTGCATTCTGTCACAAGTAATTAGGGTGTCAAACAATGTAGTCATAGTAGTTCTAGAGAAAAAATAATGAGATCATGTACATATTTATTCTCATTCTCCATATATTATGATTTTTTTCTTTTCATCTAGAGAAAAATAGTCTACTAACACAAATTGTACTTAACTATACATTTTTCTTTTTCTTTTCTTTTTTTTTTTACAATGTTTCAATCTTATCTTTTAAATTGAATATGAGAAAAAAGCAGCAATATGTCAAGATGAAATCTATGATATGATGATTAAGATGACGGAAAAAAGAAACATTGAATAATGACAAGAACAATATTAATAATAAAAAAAAAACCGGCAAAAGTCAAACCATCTGTCTGTTTGTGTATCTTAGATACAAACACTACTAATGTTAGAAGAAGAAAGTGATTCTTTGTTTCATTTGCTTTTTACTAGACAGAATAATATACGAAGGACAGACGAGCCAGAAGGTGTCAGTCGTTATGTTGTTGATGGCAGAAAAGCAAACTAAAATTCGCACATACACACATACAAGTCATCATTGATGTCGTTGTTGCTGTCGTCTGTCTTCTTTCTTTCCTTTTCATCCATCTCAGATCACAGAAAAACGATGAGAAGCGAAAATGATCGTTCTCGTTCTCGTTCTCGTTCTTATTCTATTCTTTCTTTTCTGTTCTTTGTCAAGTTAGATGACGTCGAGTGTTGTATATATGTCGCTCGATGAAAAGAGATCTCCTGGCAATTAGATGCGTGAGCATGTGCGTTTCCTTCTTCACTCTATGTATCAGTCTTCATGCACAGTGTGCATTCAATTCTTTGAGCCAACAAGACAACAAAAAAAAAGGGAAAAGATGCAAAAGAGCAACCGACACAGGAATGACTAACGGGTACTAATCATGTTGCACTAACACATATAGACGTATACACATGAAACCGGAAAAACACAATTGACAAGCGAATGGAACTTCCGTTGAGTTGTCACCAGAGTTATGTTCTCACAAAAGATGTCAATGCAAACAAACATATAGGAACAAATATTGTTGTTCTTTTGTAAAATGGTGCAATCTAATATTTGTTTGATTATAGTCAATTCTAATCGACAAATACAAATATTTATATTTAGTTTATTATAGTTAAAATTCTATTTGAAGAAAAGAAAAAAAAAATTTTTTTCAACGTATTTCTGATGAAAGAAACCTATTAAACAGTCATAAATCTATATATGCATACATATAATGTTGTATGAATCATTTTGTGATGACGCCAAGTACCGTACAGGTACAATTCTTTGGCTTTATTTTTAATAAAACATATATGATTCATATTCATGAACTCTTTCAGATGTCATGATCAAATGAGAAAAAAGTACATCTAGTTATAATGAGGACCAACTATATGGATATATAAATAAGATGTAAACTTCATGAAAAAACCAATACTAATAGTATTATGTCTCCTCAACATCATGCTCTCAAAGCTACTTTTAGCTATCAAAACGCAGGATTTCAATCGGATACAAATGATAGAAAAAGCCAATATCGAAGAACAGTTTCTTATGATGGTTATTATATATTGGAACAAGAACAAAATTCAAAATCATCATCATTATCATCATCACCAATAGCTCATGTTTCAATACCAATACCTGATCTAAGAGTACCTACTATTGATCATAATATCAAAAATGGACGACAACGATTTCGTTGGAATTTAATTTTCAACGTACTCGTTTGGATTATTTGTCCATTACCTCTTTGGCTTCCATTTCTTTCGAATCAAGTAGCTATTTTTCTCTTACCTTCTATTCAATGTGTTTTTGTATTCATTTGGTTTATTATTACTTTACTAGCAGCACGAAATGCATTTATTATTTTTCGGTTAGTTGATCATATTTTTATTTCTATTGTAGTTGTCTATTATCTTTTACTTTCTTATATAGCAATAGGAATCAAGATTATTCTCTCTTATTATCAACTGAAGATAGAAACAAGATTCGACATCTGGTTGTAATTAGTTGCTATAAAGAACCACTAGAATTAATCAAACGAAGCATTGATACTCTTGCAGTACAGTCGGAAGTTAATCGTATTTCAATGGTTATTTCATTTGAAGAACGTACACCAGATGTGCATAATAAATGTCAAATATTACAAAATTATTATATTCAAGCTGGATTTCGAGATCTTATTTTTACTATTCATCCATATGGACTTTCAAATGAAATTCCAGGTAAATGTTCAAATGCAAATTATGCTATACGTACAGCAATCAAACAATTAAAATTAGATGAAAATAATAATGATGATTATATATTAATAACAACATGTGATGCTGATTCACAATTTCATCGTCATTATATTGCTGCATTAACTTATCAATATATCAAAGATAATTATCCAGCATTAACTACAATTTATCAGCCACCACTTTTTTATAATTGGAATTTAGATGCATCATCATGTTTTACTCGAATTACAGGTCTACTTCGAAGTACATTAATGTTAGGTGCATTAATACCATTTTCAATAAATACAATGAGTATATTTTCATTTTCATTATCATTAGCTAAAGCTGGTAATTTTGTTCATCCAGCCTATCAAATGGATGATATAATATGTCTTATTCGATGGATGGGTGTAACACATCGTCGTCTGTCTATTCATATGGTTTTAACACCTGTTATAAGTGGACCAACATGTGGTCGAACAATTGAATATGAATTTATGGAATGGGTTAGACAGGCAAGACGATGGACTATTGGAGCAGCTGAAGTTTTTCATTATTTTATGATTAAATCTCGATGTATTCCATTTTTAACATCATTATCATGGTCAATAACATTTCTTATCTATTATGGTGTATTACTTTGTTCAAGTGGTCTTTATAGTCTAACATATTTTATTGCTATGGAATTTCTTCTTAATGAAATTCCAACCTATGTTGTCTATACAATGTATATATTAATTTTAATTCAAATGTTATCATTTTCAATTGCTTTTATTATTGATATATTTATTTGTCGCCTGCTGAATATAGATGAATGTATATTTATTCTACGAAATTTTTTTCATTTTTTAATGACACCTTTTGTGCTTATTGGTTATTCTTTTGTTGAATTTTATGCTTTACATGAAGTTATGATACGAGGAAAAAAAGTTTGTAAACATGGAGCTTCAAATAAAAATATGCTTCAATAAATAAATAATAAAAATTATTTTGTTGTATATTCTTCATATTCTATTTGATAACCAAGTAATTGATCAATTAAAGCATCAATTTTAATTAGTATTTTTATAAAAGATAATAGTAAAGATACAGGATAAGTTTCAATATTATCAACAAATACTAATGCTTGCCAAATAGTCATATATTTATCACTACGAACACCAACAATATTTTCAAGTAATTCTACTCGTAGATCATGATCTTTATATATTTTTTCGGCATGAATAATTAAAATACGATGTCTTCTTTATTATCATTCATCCAAAATATATGAGGAACATATGGAGAAATAATAATAGGTGATAGACATATATGAAATGTCACACAAGCATATTTTATTATCTAATTGATAAGATAAATGACCTTGAAGAATAATAAATGTTTCTATTTGATTAAGATGTATATGTAAACATGGCATACATGGTCATTTTATAGGTGAAATTTGAAGATTACCACAAATTCCTTAACTATATATAACATAACCAAATTCTAAATAAGAATTTTTATTTTGTTCAGTTCGATTATAAAATTGATACACATCGGTAATATTTCCATATGAAGATGTTATGTTAGATGAATGTTTTATACGAGTTCGTGGTAACTAAATAAAAGTTAAATATGATAATTAATTTCAATAAGTCTTACTTTAAAAATCTTATAACGATGATATTCAATTCATATAGCTAAACATAATAGAAGTATCCATTTAAACCACTAATACATGTTTATAACATAAAAAAGACGAAAAGGTTAAGACGTATATATGTAATAAATTTGCGAGAATCAACCTTTCATACATCGTTATAGGTCAATATGATGTATAGTTAGTTAGAAAAAGAAAAATTTTTTGTATTTTGTCTTATGAAAGAACGAAAGAAAATATGCAAAACAAATAGAATCATGCGATTTTTGTTATTGATTGGTGCTTGTTTTTTTCACATGCTAGTAAATGGAAGGATGATATTTCTTTTTTCTGTTAGTATCATAGGCTGGCTAGCATTTTACATTGAGAAATGACAATAGACTATGATATCTTACTATTATCAAAGAAAAACAATTGTTTTCCACTTTATGTATACCACTAATAATTTTTTTTAGTTGTGGCAATCGTTCTCTGGTGACCTACTCATCGCTAGTGTACATAAATTTAACGAACAAATTATCAAATAAACATATTCTAAAGAAAAAAAAGAGACATATTTGGTTCATTCAATTAATAAGATAATTTTAAAATTTTATTTCATCGATTATAAATGTATAGATTGATTTAAATATTATTTGTAATAGAACAAGATCGTTTGATTATTATTTATGTATGTGTTAAAAAGAATCGTTGTTTTTTTTTTGTACTTCTAAGTTTATTATTTTTTATGATCTTCACTCTATCTACTGATATAAAAATATACTTTGAAGGATTGCTTCTTCAATTAAGTTTTTCACATAGATAATTGATATTAAATAAAAGACTTGATAGACAAAATATAGAAAATCATTGATACAATGTTCTCTTACAAACCATCATAGAATTAATCATTGAACAAGAGACAAAAAGAAAAAATCTAGATTCGTTTACATGAGTAAAAAATCTATTTATTCTATAATATAAATCTAAAAATTCTCTAAACTATTATATAATAAGTTTCTTTGATCAATTAATAAATTAAACTATAAATATGCATTTTTGGTGGTGTTCGTTTATTTGTTGGTGTTGTAACTGTATAAACTAATTCACCATTTGATGTTACATCTATACTTTGTATACCATTTGCTTCTGATAAACAATAAAGTATTTGTGCTGGTTGTAAACTAATATCAACAATAACTATTTCATGTATATTTGTTATTGGTGATTGTGGAACATAAACAATAACAATTAAATTTGGTTGTTTAGGTACTAATAAAACACGTTCAATATATGATGATGATAGTTTATCAAAATATTTTACAAAATCAAGTGATATTATACTATTTTGATTATTCGTAAAAAGTAATAAACGATCTGCTGTTGTCGTATTAACATCATGTACAACAACACGATCTTGTTCATCACATGATATTCCAACAGGATCAATTAAAATATTTGATATGGGTTTTGTAAAATCTAATTCATCTAAAAGATTAACTTGTTTGATTTTATGATTTATATTAAATTGATAACATTGTCGTTTTGTACGACAACATGTCCATATTTGATTTTTTTTATTATAATCACAACGAACTATCATTATTGGATCATATGGAAAAAATAAACGTAAAATTAATGCACCATGATGTGTATGTAATGTTAAAATTTGTGTATCAATTTCAAATGCAATTAAATAATCTTGTGTTACTGTAAATGATGATATTAAACGTATATTAGATAAATGAAAACGTTCTGTTAATAAAGGTTGTCGACGAAGATGACGTGAATATGAATATATACGTACTTCACCTTCAGTATCACATAAAAATATTCGTTGTTCTATTGTTGATATAACCCATTTTGCACATATATCTATATCAATTGTATAAAGTTTATAAACATATAGATTTTCTGTTGAATAATATTGATTAATAGAAGATCCTGGTGATGTTAATCTTGTTTCTTTACGATCAGTATCTTTAACACGTACTGTACCAAGTGTTTTACTCATTGCATGACCATGTGAAGGTATAAAATGAAACTATTTCATTAATTAATATGAAAAGTAATCAGTACAAGGTATTCCAAAAGTCCATCGACAGAAAAAAATGTAAATAACTTTTGAACAATTCAAGCCATACATGTTTTATTCGGTTTCCTTTTAAAATTTTATTTGTGCTCTCGTTATTTAAAATGTTCATACTGAAATGAAACTCACAAGTTCACTATCTTGTTAATTCAACTAGATCTTTAATATAGCGTCTTGCAGATATTGTCTTTGATATGTTACTATTTAAAAAATTCGAGAGATGCTAAATTCAACGTTTAAATTCGCATGTTAGGAAAAATGCTGTCTAGAAACTGAATGTATTTCATATAAACAATCAGCACACTTTTGCTAGTGATATGAACTGCTTCAACCTTTTCTTTTGTTATTATTGTAAGATGTTCAAAATATGACTAGTCTACTCAAGTAACAGTTGAAGAAAAGTGCGCAGAGATTTTTTAAATAGTATCATCATTTATCGTTTTTGTGTGTCAAAGTCGAGTGACATGATTCGTTTTTTAATCATAGATGACTACAAAGCTGCCAACTCCAGATGATTTGAATGAAGTACGAAACGTCTGAAATATTGTAAATAATTATTTCAAAAATTAAGAGTAAAAAATTAGGAATATGGCTAAAAAAAGCTGTTAGCGCAATCCTTGTGGAATTAAAAATGTCAAATACAATATAGTTGCTGCTACTCATCACAGGAGATTACTTTATTCTATCTATTTTTGGAATACACTTATTCACCCTCCTTCTACTTAATCTCCTAGAAATGCAAAAGAAAGTAGTGCATGTATTAGAATAAGACGTTGTTGATATACAGTCTGTGATCATATATTTACGTTCGTCAAGTTTTGTAGAGGAAATCCGAATCTTTACACCTATACTTCAATAGTTCTTTTAGATCGTGTTTCGCAAAATTATTTACTAGTCAGATAAATCCTATTAACATCTTTTTTCTGAGTAAGAAAAATGGTCGGTAACGTTCATTTATTTAGGAACAAAATAAGTTCATAATAATATTGTTTTTATACATGACTGTATTTTTGTTTGCTTTTCGGTACATTTGATCATTTTTGATTGAGACTGTAGAAAATATGCTAAAAATCTGCCATTGAATTATTTAGTTTAATCGGATTTTCAAAGCAATAGCAACTGCATCAGTTATCATGAAATTTCGGATTAGTGTTCATGCATGATTGATATGACTAAATACTCCTTCTACAAATGTATTCAAATAGGAAATTGAATAAATGTTTGTACTTCGTTTAATTACTATCATACAATTTGTGTGTAGACTCAGAAAACGTTCTCTTGACTTTTATAATTGTCTATATCTTTAAAAGATTGTCAAAAACTGATCGAGAATTGAATGTACCTTTTAGAGCAGTATTAGCTCAAATAGAAAATTTCATTGATTTTTAACTACAAAATAATTTAATTTTAATCCTAAAAAAAATTCTAAATGAGGTACAGTTGGCAGCTCTAAGATGACTCAAATTTAACCATCAATAAAAATTGTTTCTATTCTAATGTTTATAGGCGTAGGTATTTGATCTAAACTATGTTGAATAAAACTTAAAGAAACATTGAACGAAGTTATAGAATATTCATGCAAGCCGTTTGAACTGTTCAAAAGTTATTCAAGTTTATTTGTATCTCGACGGACTTTTAAAACACTCTGTATATAAATATTTACTTGTTTAAGTTGTTGTGATATTTTATTGAGTACACGTTCAATATTATCAACCATAGCATTCATTTCATGTACTTCATAATTAGTTGAATATCTTGGTGAACTATTTTATTTAAATTAAAATACAAAATAAAAAAATAATAATAAAAGAGAGATTGAAGTAAGTCAAATATTTACTTTAATGGTAAACGAAATGATTGAACTGTATGTAAACTTTTACGTATACCATCAAGTTCATGTGTTGATCTATAGAATAGTTTTCAAACTAAATCGCTGTTTTTTTTTGTAAGAAAACGAAAATTTACTCTTTGATATTTTTGTTGACGTGATGAAGATTTTCTAAAAGTTTATTACGTTGTTCTCGATATTCATTTGTTATTGTCATATAAGCTCGTTCAACATCATGAACAGCTGTTTTAGCAACTGATGATGAACGAGATAATTCTTCATATATAGCATCTAATATTAAGACAAAAACAAAAAAATATTTGATATATATTCATAAAACATAATTTTACGTTTGAAAATTTCACAACTGCTTCTAACTTTTTTTTGTCAAATTAAGCAAAAAAAATTGCTCTCAATATAACTTGTATGTTATTATCATGCAAAAGTTTATTAAATCGAAATAAAAATTGAAATTTCAAATCATTCTTTTACTAAAGACTATTTTGTTTAACTTAAGAGAACTCATCGCTCTTTCTGGATGCTCAAATTAAAATTTTTTCATCGGTAATATAACTTCGAAATGTCTTCTGTCGAATGCCATATAAATGAAGAGTCTTTGTTGTTAGTTAGTACTTTTATTAAATTCAAAACTCGAAATTCTTAGCAGAAAAATTCGTGCTCCGATTATTCTTTGTATACGAAAGTCTCTTTAACGATAATGATTATTTTTCATACCAAATGTATTGAGAGCATGGATAGTGACGGATCTCTAATGCCGTCAGTTTTTGATCACTTTAGTTGGTGAAAAAAGAAGTCCTGATGCACACAGAAAAGTTTGTTTTGCATTTTTCTTAAAATCAATTTTTGAACAAAACAAAACGAAGTTTTCTCCTCCTCTTTCTCCCACATGGTATGTCCAATTGTGCTCATATTTTTTTCTGAGTATTTTGATCAAATTTGAATGCGTGTTAATTATTTTCTTTGAAATGTTGTTCTTACAAAATTTGACAGCCTTTTTAAAAAAAACATGTTTGTTTGACGATGCTTCCAGTATTTTGCTTGTCCTGAGCTATAACAACAATGTTTTTGAAAGAAAAACAAACACATACCCCGACTTTATGCTAGCTGTCATGAAAAGAATAAAGTATAGAATTGTGCGAGAGGCACTTCTGATCATTTTTAGCCTTTGCAATTCCATATCTTTCTAGCGGAAGCATCTGGGAATTTTGAGTCTATGGCAAATTTCGTTCCGGAAAGTCTCCTTAAATGAGAATTTACGAGTTTTCTAAAATAAAAAAATTCTTTCAATTGAAACCGATATGTGTTTTTTCTTTGTACATTGAAATCTTATCTCTTAACAATTTTCTTCTAATAATCATTTTCATCACTTACTAGTTCGTTGCTGAAGCGCACGTATTCGAGATTGTACTTGACGCCGTTCATGTATACTTGAGGATAAACTTGTAGTATTACTTATTCGTGATGTTGCCATATCTCTTCTTCTTTTTTTTTTGTTGTTTGCAATTGTTCTATTCTACGTCAGTTAAGTATTAACATACACATATGCATACACGCTTAGTATGTATTTTTTTTGTAATAAGCAGCCGAACGTTAGAAACGACCATTGACAAAATGTTTAAAAGCTGACAAACATAACATACACATTTCTTAAAGTGATTTAATCATTCTTCCGTTAAAAGAAAATAAAAGGAACAAAAAAAGAAAGAATAGAATTTCAAGTGAAGGTTCTTTTTTTTTTATTGTCAATATTAAAAAATTATGTAGAAGAGTTAACTTTCATTCTATTTAGTAGATATCGTATTTCTTCATATAGTAGTGTTCGCTGTTGTGTCATTTATCAATGTTAGGTTAGTTACCAATGTTGTGAAAGTTGGGTATTCTGTAGTAAATGTCGATGTTGTGGTCACTGGCAATATTGTAGTAGCTGTTGGCGTTGTAGAAACTAGAAAAACATTCAAAAAAGCCTCAAATGACATACTTAATATATGAAGATTTTACTTGACGGGCAAGGTTCACCGAGATAATAACTAAGGTCACTGCAAAAACAAGCAAAATTTTTGTCATTATCATTTTCAGGATCAAATGAAGTTGGTGATAATTCTGCACATAAATTATTTGGGTCATCACCACATATATTAGGACGTTCACATATACCTAAACATACATTTTCTAAGAAATAGATTTCAATAAATAAATAAAAATCATACGACAAGGCTTATCAAGTGCATAACGATAATCAGGACAAGTACAAGCGACTTGTCCATTACTTAAACGAAAACATTGGTAGCCAGTTGTTTCATTATAATATTCGTTTAATTTACATAAACTACAATCTATTATTTAGAAAAAAACAAAAGAGAAACACGAGAGAGATTATTACTTATTTAAATAGGAATTTATATAAAATATACCTGAAACAGCGTTAGTAATTGGAGACAATGTATAGATTGCAGCAACGACAAAAAGATAGACGAGCATCTTGTTCTTTTACGTATTTTAGTTAAAATGAATGATGATTTATTTAAGAGTATCATGCTGATTTTTAAAAATATAACATTTGGTAAGATTCACACAAGATTAAAGATTTATTATTTCTAAGAATGATTCACTGATAGTCATCGATTTTTTTCTAGAATATGCTTCTACATTTTAATCATGTCATACCATATCTAAAACAGATCATATATATTGAACTGTACTTGTTATATTCAAAGAATTTAAACAAAGCATAAAATTTTCTTCAGTCTAACAACTTTCTAAAATGAAAATCTTTTATAAGAATATAATTAGTTTGATTGTGATTTATTAAGGACTTTTATCTTGTGAAAAGTAATATAAAAATTGTAGCAAGTGATAATACTCTCATACAAAAAAATCGAACAAAAAACTTCCATTAATGCATATTCTTTAAAAAAATCTCTAGTAATAATATTAAAAGTAAAGCCCTGATTTCTAATGATTTTTCTTTGAGTTTCAATAGTAGCGAATATTCCTAGTGATGACTCTTGATTTTTTAATGATTTTTCTTTTCTTTCTAAGCATTTCCGATTATTCTTATTGATTCTCAACGAATGGATAAAAACTGATTTTCAGTGATAGAATTCACCAGAAATCAATTTGTTCCCTGTTGGTTTTGTCTAATTGTTTATAGTTGACTATCAAATTTGAATGTCATTATCTTTTGTATATATTTTAGGAATGAGGAAAATAGATATAATTCAATTACCGTAAATCACTATTGTATTCATACACATGACAATCCTTAAAATTTAAAAAGAACGTGTTTGTTTTACTCGAAATACACCAGCATATATGAACAACAGAACACACACGAGTGAGTCACAGTGATTATGAATAGTTTTGGTTTCTCCTGTTCTTATATCCTATATAATTTAATTAATTAGATATCAAAATAATTTCGTCGTCAAATAGGAAATAAACTCAACAGATCAATATCAAACTAGTTAGATACTTGTAAAAAGTTTTTCGAGTAAGAAAAGTTTAATGATTTTTTATTAGGCTCTTTGCTAATATTTTCTGTTAAACCATTGCACATATTTATACATAATATAAAATGAGAAACAAACGTTTAGATCAACATTTGTTTGGTGAATTATTTTCTTCAAAGTGATTTCTACAGCTACCGAAACAAGTTATTCAGTTGATATGCGAATATTTTCGTCTAAGACACTGTATTTCATCAAACAAAAATTTAGAGCATTGCTAATATTTCATTACTTTTTGCTGTTAATTAATTATTTTAGAAATCTGCCATATGTATCATTCGATGTAGAATTAAATGTTACTAATTGAATAACTTAGCATTAATTATTAAAAAAAAGAGAAAAACTCTATTTACATTTTGAGTTTATAAGTACGTCATTCAATAGAACATGAAAAGCATAACAAAAAACAAAGTGTAGTAGTGAGCGTTACTCTACTCTTTATCATCATACTGATATGAGTCATTTTGACAAAAGCCTTATATGATTTTGTTATACTTTTTATTTAGTATTGAATGACGTACTTATAAGCCCAACGTGTAAACAGAATCTTTCTCTTCTTAATAATTAATACTACATTATTAGATTAGTCATATTCACTGGAATGTAAGCCAATCAGTTCTACATCGAATAATATATGACAGGATTTTACCATGATTAATTAATAGTGAAAGTTAAGGGAATACTATCAGCACTCTAAGTTTTTATTCGATGGAGTAAAATGTCTTAGATGAAAATATTCGTATGTCAATTTGATAGTTTCTTCTGAAAGTTGTAGAAGTCACTTCGAAGAAAATAATTCACTAAATAAATTCTTTCTCTAAACACGTTTATTCTATGTTTCAGAATTTCTTAATTTTGATCTTTCGATGCGAGGGCTAATATTTGACAATTTGTGAATTAAAAAAATTCTGCGACATTTATATGTTTGCACAAGCGATATAGACTTTCAAATGATTCTTATTATGATAGGAATTAATAGCTTGTTTTTTTAAATCAAACTGAATTTAATAGGTTTTTTAACATTATACATTAATATTATTTTCTTAGGAATATTTTTTAAGGTTTTATTGAATACAAAATCAGATGTCATAGATTAAATAATTCGAGACCTTGTAAGATTAAAAAAATGTATATATAGCTTTCTACATATAATAACGTACGTATATAGAACATTTAAAATATCATAATATCCATAATGTCACCTAATGTTCGGTACAGACGAATAGAATTTCTTTTCATTAAATAAAGAATGTTACACAGAAAAATTACATATTACTTCCAGTATATTGTTATAACATAACTTCAAATGATAAGAGCTGAAACATTTGAAGTACATAAGTACTATTGAATTTCTTTAGAAAATATAATTCTCAAGTTAAGTTGATAAAAACAATGACATTATGTTAATAAAATATTCTTAATAAGAAAAAGAAAAAATATTTTCATATATATTTTATAAAAACATAAAATACAAGTTACTAATAAATAATACATTATGTAAAAAAAATATAATAGGTGTAAATATAGAATGAATGTAACTGATGATTTAATTACTCAGAAAACGACATTATCGTAAATAATTATACAAACACATACTAATGATATTTCATGGAATGTCAGATATTGTACTAAGACAAATAACTTCAAAAATAAGAACAATGTTTATATTACAAAAAATGATCTCATACTTACGAAGAAAAGACAAAAAATAGAAGAGAAATAATACTGAACACTAAAACATTATCATAGTATTAGTTTAGTAAAAAAAGTAAGACGAAATCAATATCATTTAATATACAAGAGTATACGAACGACTATTTTTCGAATAAGTTGGAATTAAAACAAGAGAGTAGAAAAGAATTTACTGATGTAAACTTTATTTTAAATTGATTCAATTTGAAGATCAGCAAATATTCTCAACAAATAATTATTTATATTATATAATTGTCTAATTACAATCCATTAGTATATAAAACAGGGATCCTATCTCTTCCGCTTTTTTTCATATGAAAAACTTTGATTTATTTTTTTTTAATGGGAAAAAATTTAACACAATAAAATCTGTTAATATTAAATAAATTATGGTAGCTATCGGCTACAGTCTATTATTGCTTATATGATTCATTTTTGTGTTCTATTCCAGTAAGCAATGTAAATGTTTTAATTTTGTTTTTCTCGGAAATGAGATATTTGTCCAATGATTTTTATCGTTAAATGCTAGTAGATTAAATAGCTGCAGGAAACACAAATTCATTGAAATATTTCATTGTTGCACAAATATCTATTATCTCACAAAAGAATTGCTAACCGATAATTATTCAAACAGTAAATGTAACTAATTATGTTCAAAAAAAAAAATGATGTGTTTGGTAAAATATTCGTTATCTTTTATGTGTTTATTTGTTCTGTTTTGGAACTATGAGAATACAGAAGTGTCATGGAAAGAAGCAACAAGTTATTTTCGATCTATAGAAATACAGAAAGTCCACACATAAAAAGAAACAGTTGTCCGCTTTTCTGATTTGAGAAGGTGGCAACCTTAACGTGAAGTCTTTTTATATATATGATGTTTTGCTTCTTTATTACTATCAGAAACATACACAAAATATATTTCGAAGTTATTTATCGATATCCTATATATATACATATCAACAGCGATACTAGAATTATTTACATCAGACCAGCCTTGAAACTAAAGAGTAATTATATATGGGTTGTTTTCTTTTTGTAAACTCTTACGATGACAGTCTATGTTTGTAGAATCTTGGTAAACATTATATATTCTTCGTCTTTTCCTTTTCTGATGTAATCAAATGACAATAATAATACTGAGAAATTAGATATATCTTGAAAGTTAATTTATTCAGATGGAATGTACAAACTTCAATTTCGTTCTATCAATCATTGTCATCAATACAATTTTAACTTTTATATTTTATGATTGATTTACATTCAAATATCATATTCAAATCGTTAGCATAGAAATTTTACATATACAAATAGTCTAAAAAAAAGTATTCGAACATTTATTAGTTCTTTCTTTTTGTGTAGTATGAATACAAATATTAAAATCTCTTCTTAGACAAAGAACAAACATATTCTTTCTTTAGCATTTGATAGTTCTCATTTTATACTCTATTCCATATGGAAATCAAGGTTTAGGTCCTTTGTGAAGAAAGGAAAATTAATTCCTTATGATTATTATACGAATCAACCAATAGAAAAATACAACAACAGTTAAGTGCTTGAATAGTTTTTAGACTACCTGTGATTATAATTGTCCGTTTTAATTTAGTAAATGTTCATATTATAAATAATCAAATACAGAAATTAGCAATCATAGTAGACTATTTAAATTTGTTTGATTAAATGATAAAATAAATCATTTTATTATCGTGACCGACATATATCTACATTTAACATGCATATATTTTTTTTTTGTTATTTTCATTCATATTTAGAAAAGAAAAAAGAAAAACACAATCACAATAAAATATAAACAGAAAAAAAAACGAATAATCTCGTCAAGGCGAACATGAACTCGTTGAAACTGACGATGATGGCATAATGGATCTTGTAACAAGTCCAAGTTCCCATATTTTAACATCAATTAATTGATCTGATGATGGTAATGTTGCTTTAGTTGATGAAAACCATGATTGAAAATGTATTGGTACACGTGGATTTCTTAAAAGAAAATCATAAAACCATTCTGATGTTATATTTATTGGTGATAATTGATGAGAATAATTATCCATAACTATTTCACATGCTCGACGTCGTGCCATTTGTTCAGCTATTGTTAATGATGCATCAGCTGGTAATTGTACAATAAGTTCATTTGCTAAAGATTTTTCTTCTGTACGTGTTAATAGTGGTAAACCAAGACGAATTGATTCAGTTACTTTTGGTATTGATATATTTAAAGATGAATTTTCTAATTCATTTGATAGAATAGAATTATTATTTGGT